GTCTCATCTAGAATCTTTTAGAATCTAGAGTACATAGCATGGCATCTATACAAGAAAGGCTGCTTTTCAATCTATTCTCTGCAAGGCAAACAAAAGAGATTTCTTTTACCTCATGGATTGTTGGAATTACAGACATGAGCCACCAAGTCCACTTTCTACAATCAATGTCTGTGAATGCGATTTTTATTCACATATGAAATTAATGAATTTTAGGAGATTAAAACATGGATTAAACATGAATTAGTGTTGGAAATTTGAACATCTATAATCAGGGAAAAAATTCAAAGTCTATGTACCCTTATAGCTTTGAATATTATTGCTTTCTTCATTTAAGTATACCCTACCTAAAATTTGTAATGTCATCTACAAGATTGGCTAAGAACTCAGAATTTTCTTCCAAAATTTTCATTCCCATAAATTTTAATTACAGGTTCCTATATTAGTTACTTTTCTGTTGCTGTGATAAAATATTATGGCCGAGGCAGCTTAGCGAAGGAAGAGCTTATTTGGGCTCCTGGTTTCAGAAGTTTAGAATCCATGGTTGTGGTGCAGAGATAGCAGGCAGCAGGCAGTGGATGCGGAGAGTAGATGATGAGTTCTCACATCTTGAACCAGAAGCAAGAGGATTTTGAAACCTCAAAATTTGTGCCCAGTGACATATTTCCTCCAGGAAGGTCATATCTCTCAAACCTATCCAAACAGTTTCATGAACTGGGGACCAAGTGTTCAAACATTGGCGCCTATGGAGAACGATCTCATTCAAAGCACCACAACTCCCAAATTCTTTGATTCTCCATTAGTGGTATTTTTAACTTTCTAAAGCCCCCCCCCAGTGCATTTTTTCCTATATGTTTAATTCTACTGGTGTAAAAATGCTTCTTTCTTCATATTTCTTAATATCACACCTATATTGTTGCTAATTTAGCCTTCAATCATAACAGCTACAAGAGGATCAGACACTCCATTTTGTATTCTTACTTTGCTATAAACTGATGACAAAGGAAGTGTCACACAGGAAATGTTAGTGATGAGAAGATTCTCAATAAGCAGGCACTGAGGTAAGAGTAACTACTTCGCAGCCTATATACTAAATCCAAAGATAAAACCGCATTTAGGATGCACCCCTTGCACACACCTCCTTTTGTATAAGCAATACAGTCAGTGTAGCTGCTGATATGATAGTACTTATAGGACTTTTTCCGCAGATGGCTGGTGATGCAGAACAAATTCTGGCTAAGTGCCTCAATCTTTTCTTGGTGGTTTCATTCTATGAACCATCTACTCAGCATTAAAAGATCATATGCTTTACGTTATTTCCCTAAAATGGTAATGAAACATATTGAGCCATCTAAATTTTCTCAGTTATCTTAGGAGGGAATAAAAACAGCATTTGAACAGTCTCTGGCATCAGAAAAACCATGCTACAGCTTCTTATTGTGGGACCTAAAGCAAGTTACTCAAGTGTGTGTGTGGTTTTTTTTTTTTTTTTGAGACAATGCTTTACTATGTAGCTCAAGTTAGGCTCAAATCCACAATCCTCATGACTCAGTCTCCCGAGTGCTGGGATTACTGTCATGTGTAACCACACCTGGCTACTTAGACATGAGTATCCACAAAATGGGCACGATAGGCAGTGATCTACTTATGGACCCTAAGATTCTTTCCCAAGGCCTTGATTATTTGCCTCCTAATTCTTAATGACTTTTACTTTCATGATTCTAATTTGTTGCACAATATAGCTGATCTTCTTACAAAAAATGTATTAGTTGTATTTTTGTGTATGAATTATTGTTTACCTATATATTTGCATGTCACATGTGTGCCTGGTGCCCATGGAGGTCAGAAAAGGGCATGTGTTCCCACAGATCTGGAATTCCTGACCCTTTTGAGCCGCTATGTGAATGGATTCTGAAAATGGAACCTGGGTTCTCTGCCAGAGCAAGAACAACAAGTGCTCTTAACTGCCAATCATTTCTCCAGCCCCAACATAGTTGATCTTGATATGGAGAAAATATCTCAGTGAGCCTGTACAAGCAGAATATTCTCCAGTTATGATTGCAAAACTGAGATTGAAAGCACAAGTTTTTATTGGGCCATTGCTGGTGTTGTGTAGGTAGCCCTTTCTTCCAAGATGGAAACATTCCACCCTGAGAGCTATTTCCTTAAGCAGAGAGCTAAACAACTCAAAATAGTTTCAGGCGTCCCTGAAATTGACCAAATTCACTAGGCCCCTCCCCCAACAGTAAACAAGACAAGCTGCTAAGTACCCCTTCAGACAACAAGACAAGCTTCTAAGAACCCCGTCAGACAAGCCCAAGGTGCAAAACAGACTCTCAGATGAGCCAGGCTGCAAAGATCCTGAGACCAGCCCAGCTGCCTGGAAGATGCAGAAACCTACCAAAGTGCCTGGAAGACACAGAAACCTACCAAAGTGCCTGGAAGACACAGAAACCTACCAAAGTGCCTGGAAGACACAGAAACCTACCAAAGTGCCTGGAAGACACAGAAACCTACCAAAGTGCCTGGAAGCAGTTTCAGACCAACTGACTGTCCTTCCTAAGTGACTCAGATATTTGTGTTTCTTCTCCCCAGGAAAAGTCTTGTCATACAAAAGCTGGCTCTGAGATGTAGTTACCCCATGCACGGACCAGTGAGAAGCTTTTCCATCCACGAGCTAAAGCTAACAGCCCCAGAAAAAATAGGCATCAAGAAAAGAACCACAGTCTATGGCCACAAAGAAACAATTGTTGCTAACAATAAAGGGAGATTAAAAGCTGGTTGTCTCACAGACAAGCCACAGAAAGCCCAACACATTGATTCCATTCTTGTGAAAAATTAAATGGGAGAATCCAGCCATATCCAGTCAGATTAGACTTCTGACCTGCAGAACTGTGAACTAACAAATTAACATTGCCACAAACTATTGTTCTGTGGAAAGATACTGTACAGCAATAGTACTTATGGGGGTCACTGCGAGCCTATGGTGGGCAGCAGAGATCCATGGGAGGCAAGAAAGTTCACCGTGACTCAGTAGTTGGTGTTGGTTCAAACTTAGAGAGCCTGACACTGAGCAGTTTATTTTAAATAGATTCAAGCACAGCACAATTTGGAAAAAAGAAATCCCTGGTGATAAATAACTCAGTGCTGTGTGTACAACAAAGCTTAAGATATGAAGATGCTGAAACTCCCTGTAAAGTACATGTGACTTCTTCCATAAAGATAGGCTCTATAGATTAACTGAGAAAAACCAGCTCATGATAAGGGTCTGGGGGAGGATCCGGTGTTGACTCAGCCACGCAGATAGTACAAAAGTCACCAGGCTATCAACCAGGTCAGCTCCCAGCCTTGTGGGCAGGAAACCGGTTGTACATCTCTTCTCTTGAAGAGACAACACTGTGTGTTTAATATTCCTGGTCCCTCTAGTGCTTATCTGTGAGCAGAAGGACCTCTGTGCCTTCCACGAAAATTAAAACTGCGGACGATGGAGACGATACTTGAACATGCCAGCTTTTATGGGAACTAGCATCGTATTTGTGAGAGAGATAAAGCAGAAGATATCCATGAAAAACAGACCACACAACATGGCTGTTAAGCCAGGGTCTGCTTTCTCCAGTAGAGCTGACAGAAAGTGTTCCTCAAGGAAACCGGGCATCTGGTGGAGTGCGGAGTTTATCAAGTGGAACCCTGGATGTGTTAGTGTGTTACTGTTCCCGGATCTTCTAGCAATCCAACCAAACCATACACACATACATCCCAAACCACTCCTGTGTGTTTCCAAACATCCTCTCTCCCAAGGGGGAGAGCTGAACAAAGAATGTCTAGGCCTCCTACTGTAGAAGAAGCTATTCCTTAACAAAACTTTGCAGATAAAAAGAATGTGTGGCTGTATCAAATGTCATAAAACTGCTTCACTGATTACAATGGTTGCCAAATTGCATAGCCCTGAGAACCACTAGAGGCGCTCACTAAAAATGACTCTCCAGTTCCTTGTGTAAAATCTCACCCTTTATATAGATTGGTGTGGGGGTCCAAGCACCCCTATTCTTAGTTGAGTATCCTAAGTAAATCTTTTGCAGTTTGAAAACATTAGGTGAGAAATCTACTTAGCTATATCACTACACTGAACTATTCGTCACATTTAAAGCACAGACTCTGCCGATATAGGAGGTACGTTTTTTTTCCCCCCTCTGGGGACTTAATCTAGGGTCTCATGCATGGTTTGTAAGCACTCTACCGATGGGCCGCATACCCAGTCCATGGAATTAATATTTTTAAGCCCATGCCTCCAATTCTGTGCTTATTGTACTACTTTGGACTTCCTTTACCAGATAGATTTTCTCAGGTGGCAGTGCTATTGACTCCTTCCATTGTTCTTCCTTTAATCCTATTCTCCTCAGGATACCTACTCTGGATTTCATCCAACCCCAGTGGCAGGTTAGCAACCGTTCCTGCAGTATCCCTGGAGTGTGCACAACCACAGCCAATGGCATTTTCCATCGTTTCAAAGCTTCTCTACTAATATCCACACTCCACCAGCAATAAGAATCTGGAACCCAGGGGCTATATGAGAGAGCACAGTTCGTTCTCCCTAGGCTCTCTTATTAATTGCTGGTACTAGACTTTGCGAGTCCTCTCATTCTGCAGCCTGTCTCAGCTCTCCCTCCGTTCAGCCAAGTCTCAACAAAATAATAGGATGTATGCTACTGGGGAAGGCCTCCGCATTTCCAGTAAGATAGACCTGAGACGAGAGTGCCAGAGCTGATAGCAAATGACTTCCCTGTTATAAAGCCGCTACAGCGTGGCTTTTAAAGGCTGGGGTGAGAGCCAGCTGAAATGACAGAGAGGGAAAGACAGCAAACGCAGAGCCTTCAAATTAGCATAGCCCCGCCCCGCGACGCTTGGACAACGCCCCTTTCCCCAGCCCTTAGCCCTTCCCACTAGCCTGTCGGCCCGCCCCCGGACCAAATGCTAAGCGGGAACCCACACAGCGTGACGCGGGGAGCGGGATCCGCGGCGGCTCCGTCCAGGTGCTTCCGGCTCCCACCGGACGGAGGCGCGCTCGGCCCCGGGCTCGTTCTCCCACGGAAGTGTGTTTAGGCGCACCGGAAGCCACCTCAGGGGGTGAGCCATGGCGGGTTTGCCTGTTAGAGACCCTGCGGTGGATCGTTCTCTGCGTTCTGTATTCGGTGAGAGGATTTCGGTGGCGCCTCTCCGGGCAGGGAGGGACATCCCCTGTGGTCCCCAGCTGGAGCGGGTGTCGGGGCGGGCGTGCCGCTTCGCCGCTGTCCTTTGACGCGGCAGCCTGGTGTACTCGTGGGCTAACAGACTCCCCCCCCCCCCCCGCCCCCCCACGACACCTTGGCTCCAAGGTATTGGAGATTTTCCGCAGTGTGGTTCAGGGAGCTAGACTCTAGCGTTGGTCTTCTCTGCGTTTTCCCCTTCATGATTCTCAGTTATTTTTTAGGAGAAAAGGTGCGTGGAAACAGAGCGTCCCTGTTCCGTGCTGCTTCTCTTAGCCCAAAATACAGATTTTATTCTGAAGCCATCGACCCTATATCCACTTCCCGCCCTCTCATAAACGCGTAATATCGCTTGCTTTTTACTTGTAACGTTTCATCCAACCATAGTGGTAGCGGCCACCTGGCATCTTGAGGTGGGTTGTGAATGAATGAATGAATGATTGATTAAAGCTCAGGGACATTTTAGAGAAGCGAAACTAAGCAATTTTTAAGATTTAAACGAGTTACTTCTAAAATATGTGTCTTGCTTTTAAGCACGTTTTGGAGGCTGTAGAATTGCCTCGAATTCCAGGCCAGCCTAGAACTACATAACAAGGCGAGCCAGAGCTACATGTAAGACTCTCAGAAAGAACCAGAAGCACTGTTTGGAAGAAACGTGCCAAAGCAGTGCTTTTTAAAAGGCCTCCCCTATTCATGGCTACCCCTCCACAAGTGTGTTTATGCGTAGAAATAAAGACATGAGCCCACCCCCTTTAGTTTCTGGTTTTGGTAGTCACTGGCTGAACTCACAGTTCTGTGGGTAAATACCAGTGCTTAAACATTGATTTTCATCAAAGTTAGGGGAAACATGCTAGTTGTCATATCTGTCCAAGAACTGTTTGGAAGACATCTTTTTTATTTAGTCTCTGGCTCTGTTCTGAGGTCTGAAAAGAAACAGTGGAAGTGGGGTTTTGAAGAACATTCAGTCAGTTGCTACATATTTATTGATAAAACTAGAAAGCCTACTGTTTACTTGCTCACCAAAGAGCTCCTTACTGTCCCAGCATTTTAATGTATTATCTGTTCCTTAGTGGGAAACATTCCTTATGAAGCTACTGAAGAACAGCTGAAGGACATCTTCTCTGAGGTTGGGCCTGTTGTTAGTTTCAGGTGAGATCCTCTTTTAAGATATTCATGGGAGATCCTTAAAAATCACCACAGATTTTGTGATAAATATACATGCTTTATTATTCAGATCCAGTCTTAGCTGAGAGATTTCTTTCATTAAAAATGTTTCAAAAACACAAAAGCAGAGTTAGAAGGGTATCTTTTTTTGTTTTTTCCTTTTTCTTTTTTTTATGGTTTTTCGAGACAGGGTTTCTCTGTGACTTTGGAGCCTGTCCTGGAACTAGCTGTTGTAGACCAGGCTGGCCTCAAACTCACAGAGACCCACCTGCCTCTGCTTCCCGAGTGCTGGGATTAAAGATGTGCATCACCACCGCCCAGCCTTGGAACTCCTTCTTTAGCCAGGCTGGCCTCGAACTCACAGAGACCCACCTGCCTCTGCCTCCCGAGTGCTGGGATTAAAGGTGTGCATCAGCACCGCCCAGCCTTGGAACTCATTCTTTAGCCAGGCTGGCCTCGAACTCATAAAAAGCTGTCTGCTACAAGGGTATCTTACTGTGGGCTAAATTCGAACATGCCAATGTTAGCAGGAAGTCAGTCTGTACGTATGTAGTATTTGTTCCTGATATTTGGTTTTGCTCTTCAGATTGGTGTATGATAGGGAGACAGGAAAACCAAAGGGTTATGGCTTCTGTGAATACCAAGACCAAGAGACGGCCCTTAGTGCCATGCGGAACCTGAATGGTCGCGAATTCAGTGGGCGAGCACTTCGAGTGGATAATGCTGCCAGTGAAAAGAACAAAGAGGAACTCAAAAGTGAGTATAAATCCAAACCATATCCATTACAAGTTACTGAAGATGAGGCAATGCAAGTTTTCCATTTGTGATTATGCTTTAGAAGATGCTGAGGGTGGTTAGCCCCTGAGGTACCTGAGTGTATTTACCTGATGTGTATGTTTAAGCAACTTGGCTTTAGAAATCCTTCTCTTCCCTAGGAGTTGGTTTCTAGTTTAAGGGGAGTTCAGGTCCACCAAGCCTAAAGGCAGTTCCACAAATCCTTGAAATTAATGTCTTTGTCTGTTTAAATGCTTTTCTTCTGAAGTGACTTGTCAACGAAATCAGTAATGGCATTATCATTGTGTCTGCTATCCTCTAAGAGCAGAAGGTATACTGTCACTTTCCTTTGCTGACTTTTCCTTCCGTGACTTACTTTTCATTTCCAGAGTTTCAAGTTACGGTTGGTGCTCACAGACACTCTGGAAAATAGACACTTGAAATGACTTAAGGTGTTATTTTGCCTTCCTAACTTTGTTGTTTGCTTTCTTCCTAATCAGGCCTTGGCACTGGTGCACCTGTCATTGAGTCGCCTTATGGAGAGACCATCAACCCCGAGGATGCCCCTGAATCTATTAGCAAAGCAGTTGCTAGTCTTCCACCAGAACAGATGTTTGAGCTGATGAAACAGATGAAGGTGGGAGGAGGCATTAGGTTATAAACAAAACAATTTACATCAGCTTTTCAAGGAGTTAATGAACATAATTCCCTGGGCTTAAGTAATTGAGTCTGTAGACACTACGTCTTCCACGTTTTATACACAGAGCTGTTTTTATACACAAACTGTCCAGCATTTTTTCGTGCCCCCATAGATGTTAAATTATAGCTTTGCCCATAAGTGATAATATTACCATATTATAAGTACTTTTTCTTGCCTGCCATGGCCAAGATTTTTTTTTTGTTCAATGTCAAAATCAGTGCTAAATCACCAGGTGTTGTGCTAAATCACATGATGTTGTGTGCCTTAGTATCACCACTTGGCATGCTGAGGCAGAAGGGTCACAGTGAGTTCAATACCAAAATGGGATACATAAAACACTGTCTCATAAAGAAAATCAATAGTAACTGAGATTGTCTTGAATATTACATTTATGAGATGAAATGGCTCAAATCATTATCATATTCTTAGTATTGACCCTGAAGGTGAATTTTCTTACCTTCTCAGCTCTGTGTCCAGAATAGTCCCCAGGAAGCACGAAACATGTTGCTTCAGAATCCTCAGCTGGCGTATGCTTTGCTACAAGCACAGGTAGTGATGAGAATTGTGGATCCTGAGATTGCCCTGGTGAGTGTTTCTGATTCTTATATGGAAATAGTAGGATGTTCTTTGAGTGGGATAAGAACTGCCTGATTGGCTTGTTAAACAGAGAGCTCATAGATGTATCTTTTCACTTTTTAGAAAATTCTGCATCGCCAGACAAATATCCCAACGCTGATTTCAGGCAACCCTCAGCCAGTCCATGTTGCTGGGCCTGGCTCAGGACCCAATGTTTCAATGAACCAGCAGAATCCTCAGGCCCCTCAGGCTCAATCTTTGGTAGGGTTTTATTCTACAGTATTTTTTTTTATCTGTCTTAAAATGTTATTTTCTTTCCAGGGGAATATTGAGAGAAGAAACAGCAGGAATCAGAGCTGGTAATTAAAATTCTTAGGCATAAGAGAAATTTCCAGATTGCAGAGCACATGCTACCTGAAAGAGTGTAGATTCCATTCCAAGTTAATAAAATAGAGATTCTTCCTGTAAACCCTTTTCTAGTAAGCTAATTTTTTGTGGGTGTGTATATCTGCCACTGTGATTATCACTTCAGTATTCCTTGTTATCTCATTTAATCTGCATAGCAGCAAAATGAGGCAAGCATTTTTACTGCCTCCATTCTCAGCAATAACAAAGGACCAAGCACATATTCAAAAGCATGATTGTAACCCTATAGACATAAAAATTTAATACATCTTAAGGTTGACGTTTATATAAAGAAAAGGAACTAAACACTAAAGACAAAATGGGAAAAGGATTTGTCACACATATGATGGGCAAAAGATTAATTCTAAATAAAGACTATTTAGAATTTAGAGTGGTCATGCTCAAAGATGTCTATTGTCATATAATAGTAGCAAATATTACAAACACATGAAATGTTGATTAGTAAAAAGTGGAGAAAATTTGGTATATATCCAATGGAAAACCTTAAACAGTTAAACTACATGTATGAATAGAAATGACCTTTAGAAACCTAATGCCATATAATATTAAGGTGGGCAAGAATATGTGGTATCAGCACAGATAACTCAAAAATATAATGGCATACAGAAAGTAAAATGAAGTAAATATGGAAACATTTTCCGTATGGATATATATATTAGCATAAGTTCTCAAACTTTAAAGTGAAATGCAAAAATAGTTCAATATTTATAAGTATGTTTTAAAGATTTATGTTATGTATATCTGTTTTTATGCATATATGTAAGTACACTGTGCATGAAGCGTCCAAGGAGGCCAGAAGAGGATGTCAGCGTTCCTAGAATTAGAGATACAGACTATTTTGAGCTTCCATGTGGATGCGGGGAACAGAACCCAAGTCCTCTGCAAGCGAAACAAGTGTTTATAAGCATTGAGACATCTTTCAAGCCCAAATATAAACATTTTAAATGTGTATAAGAATTCTGAGTAGTTATTTAAGGAGTAGAAATATGAGGTGTAGATGAAAGCCACATAGGAAGTTATGTTGTTTATATCTTTATATCTCTATTTTTCTTTTTTTTCTTTCTTTTGGTTTTTTGAGACAGGTTTCTCTGTGTATCAGTCCTAGCTGTTACAAAGTCCTGGAACTCCCTTTGTAGACCAGGCTGACCTCAAACTCACAGAGTTCTTTCTGCCTCCCAAGTGCTGGGATTAAAGGTGTGCACCACCACCACCCGGCTATATCTCTTTTTCATAAGCAAAAAAGCTTATAAATTATTTTTAAAAATACCAAAATGAATTGTAAGCATAAACAGTTCACAAAACTGAAATTAAGTATTCAGTCTAAAAATATAAACTAAAATAAGCCACAATTTTTCACCTACTGGGTGGGCCGAGGTAAATGTGGATGAATCCTATGATGGCATAAGGCAAAAATTTGTAAACATTTTCTTAAGAAACTCAGTAAATATCGTTGCCTTTAAAAGCTCTTATCATTTCTGTAATGTGAGCTAATATGTAAACGTATCTGATTGTATTCCAGGAAAACCTTACTTATAAAGCCACTGATAGGAACAGGCATGGTGGTGCTTGTAATATTAGCACTTGTAAGATGAAGGCAGGTAGATCAGGATTCAAGGTCATCCTTGGCTACCTAGCAAAACTGAAGTCTCTCTGGGATATTTGAGACCCTACCTCCAAAAAAAGAAACCAAGACTGGGGGACTGCAAATGGTTCAGAAAATAAGAATGCTTACTATCAGGCCTGACAACCTGAGTTCAATCACTGGGAGACACATTATGGAAGGAGAGAATGTATTCCTGCAAATTGTCCTCAAGTGTGCCATAGTATACACACACACACTGGATGGATGGATGGATGGATGGATGGATGGATGGATGGATGGATGGATGGATGGATGGATGACAAGATGGCTCAATAGATAAAAGGAGCTTATTGCCACACCTGACAACCTTAGTTCAATCCCCAGGAGTCATATATAGTGGAAAAAGAAAACTTATGCAAGTTGTCTTCTGATGTCTGACCTCCACGTGCGTGCTAGGGTGTACATGTGGACACAAAAAAATTGAGGGAAATATATATATATGACAGGGTCTCTATATGGCTTTGGGACAGTCCTAGAAATCATTATGTAGACCAGGCTGACTTCGTAACTCACAAAGATCCACCTGTCTCTGCCTCCTGAATGCTGTGATTAAAGGCATGCACCACTATTCCTGGCTTGAAAAAAAATTTAACTGGTTAATAGGTTAGCCAAATTTGGTGATACATACCATTAATCCTAGCACTTGAGAGGCAGAGAGCAATGCGGTGGTGGTGCACACCTTTAATTGCAGAAATCGGGAGGCAAAGGCAGGTGAATCTCTGCCTGGTCTACTCAGTGTTCGGGACAGCCAATACTGTTACATAGAGAAACCATGTCTTGGGGGAGGAGTTCTATTTTTAGTTATTGTTGTAAACCTCTAAAATGAACCATAGAGAAAAGCAGTGATATATACAGACAAGTTAAAAAATATATAAGGCTTTGAATATCCACTAGAGGTCTTGAAATGTATCTGAAGAAAACAAGAGTGCCAGTACATTTCACTCCCTTTACCATCACCACTCACAATGATAAGGTCAGGGGTGAACATGTGAACCAGTCATGAGCTATTGGGATCCATGCTGTTTTGGACTTTATCCAACAGGTAAACCACTGCTGTTGCTTTAAGAAGCAGCCGATATGAGAAGCATCTCTACTCTGAATCTCATTCGTCACTTTATTAGTAAACTGTTGTACTATATACAGACTGCAGAGACATGCAGAAAGGGTAGGATAGTACTGAACTCAAGACTCCAAACTGAGTTTGATTTTTAAAAAACTTTATTTTTTGCAGTTCTTTACATTCCAAAGATGTGCATAGTTCTCTATGGAATGCCTCATGAAAAGATTACATTCCCTTTCTCTCAGGCAATTTAATGTATCATTTACAAATTATATACACATTCAAGAAAGTTACATCCAAGGACAGAAATTATTAAAGCTTGAAATTTTTTTTTCATAAATTTTTTTCATAAAAATACAGTACCAGCAAGATTTTTTTGAAGTCTCAGTCCCTTTTTTGTCTTAAACATAAGGTACATTTTCAACTTATTTTTAGGCACCAGTCAGTGATGTCAAGGATGGGTTGTTATTTGCTGCCTTGCCACATGGATAAGACTACATTAGCCTCTATAGTAGGCATATGCTTCATTTTAACTGCATTCGTATAACCAGGCTCAAGCCACGTACTTCAGTTTGCTTCTTTGGAATTCAGAGTATGTGATAAACCTAATGCTGAGGCTGCAGAGACTTGCTCACACTTGTTTTTCTCTTGGTCAGGGCGGAATGCATGTCAATGGTGCAACTCTGATGCAAGCTTCTATGCCAGGTGGAGTACCTGCCCCAGTGCAAATGGCTGCAGCTGTAGCAGGACCTGGCCCTGGTTCTTTAGCCCCTGCAGGTAACTTTCAGTTAAAGTCTTTACTATTTTATTTCTTTGCCGAGGATTTATAATAGCAACTGCTGAAGTGCAGTTACCTGTTTAATAATAGGATCTTGATATAAAATACATAAAATATATGTGTAATTATAACGTGTTCTAGGTTGAAGACTTTGTTTTGTATTATTTGGAAGAAAAGATCTTGCTGTGTAGCTGGAGCTGGCCTCAAACTTGGCAATCCCTCTAATTCAGATGCCCAAGTACTGGGATTAGAGGCATATGTCACCACCAGCTAAATGAAATCTTAAGGGAGACACGTGTGCTGACCACACACTTGGATGTCACAATAGTGTCAAATTCATAGAGATTTCTATCTGCTCTCCATTTCTGTACTTACCTTGTCATGAAATGTTAGCATAGACTATATCAGTACCTTTTCTATAGAGATTTTTACAGATCACATAGTTTGGTTTTAAACCAATAAAATTAGAAATAATTAAAAGGTGAGTGGGAAGAAGTTTTGACTTGGAAAATTAAGAAACATACTATAGCTATTTAAAGAGGAATTAAAAAAATCATAAATAGTATAAATTAAAACAAAAAGTAATATATGTTTATATTCCATACAAATACGTATGAGAAATAGTAAAGGTGGTGTCTAAAGGAAAATGAATATTCTAAATACCCATGTTACTAACCAATAAAGTAAATTCCATACTGCTACTAATTAATTAGAAAAATAATAAACTACAAGACATCAAGAAGAGGAAATGAGGGCTGGAGAGATGGCTCAGAGGTTAAGAGCACTGGCTGCTCTTCCAAAGGTCCTGAGTTCAATTCCCAGCAACCACATGGTGGCTCACAACCATCTGTAATGAGATCTGGTGCCCTCTTCTGGCATGCAGACAGAATGCTGTATACATAATAAATAAATAAATCTTAAAAAAAAAGAAGAGGAAATGAATGAAGATGGGGATGTAGCTTAGTGGTAAAGCACTTGTCTACCATGTCCAAAGTCTCATGTTCAGTCCCTAGCACCAGGCACAAAAAATTTCTTAACAATAAAAACACCCCCAAAAAAGAACCTAAAAGCAAAACTGAGTGTATCCATAAAATTAAAATAATTAACTTTCAAGGGATGTTGAGTTTATAGTATATATATTTATGAATTCATTAAAATGTCTTGGGAATTTTTTTAGCTATCCTACAGAGCTTGAAAATTACTAAGAAGAAAAAAAAACAACTTATAGAAACATGCAGGAAGAAACTGCTTAAGAGCTTTGTAAAAGAGCAAAGCCAGATGGCCAACAACAACAGCCTCCTTTATGGTTTGGGGTTACAAATAACGTAAAAATAAAATGCTACTAAACGCTCATCAGTGCCACGTTTCAAAGAAGAGGACAATATTTGTAAAGCAGTTTGTACTCATACATCATTGATAGAAATAGGAAGGTTTTCAACCTTTCAAGCAAGTAGTATAACATGAAAGATTCCTACAATCTGACTACCAGTTACACCATTGGGAAGTTAGCCTGTACAAATTAAGGTGTTACATATAATTTTTTTAATGTGGGAAATTATGCTCATAATGCCTTCTGCTATCTTTTCCTCATATTCTAAGCCGTTGCGTTGTGTTGGTAATTGGTCTGAATTCAATGGAATGGAACGTTGTGACTGGAAGGAAGCTTTCAAATAATTTTAGATCAGTGGTTTCAAACTTTACTGTGTGTTAGAATCACCTGAAGGGCCTATAAAATGCAGGTTGATGGTCCCTTCTGCCAACTATAATTTAATAAATCTGAGATGCAAAACCTGAGAATTTTCAGTGTTTGCATTTTTCTTGTTGGTAGTGATGTAGCTTGTCTAGCTGGGGGCCACCTTCTGAGGACTGCCATTTGGAACAACTTGTTCATTTTACAGATGAGGAAGTCAGGAATGTAGTAATTTTATTGAGGCACTTGTTCAGAATCCCAGTTACTTAGTAGCAAGAGCTAGACTAGCACCCAGTTCTCTGGGTACTTAATCCCTAAATTTTTTAGTGCTTACCAAGTTCAATGAAATAGGGACAGTGTGATGTATACTTTCTATTTTAAGGAAGTATTAATTAACTGCAAACAAATCAGCTTTCCTTTTGTCCCCACTCAAGAGCATTTCTTGCTCCTTTGAGGAAAAGAGAGTTATTGCTATGTGGAAGGGATCAGACAAGGATTTGTGGTGTATTGATTACTCTCTGTTATAGTAATGTTTGCTTTGGTAATTCAAATACCACAAGGACTATTGATGTGGTTTTCCTAAATAGTGAGGTATCATGCTACTAATTGGAGTCTCCATAATTTACTAAGAAATTGCATTTCTAGAAAAGTCAGTGTATATATACAAAAACAGTACATATAACTTATGTTTACAAATAAAACAGATTCAGATTCAGATTCTAGGTTAAGATGGCAACAGATAGCTTTTCCTTTGTATGAATGTTCAGTGAGTCATTTGAAAGGTTTTCGATTTCCTCATACTTTGTAGGCCACCTAGTATCCCTGGTACCATCTCATTCAGGGTTAACCATGCCCCTAAAGAGCTTTGTCAGAACTAAATAATATAGCCACACATTTATAAAATACCCTAAGAGTCATACTGCCTCCCATGAGAGGAGGCTTGTGGGTAATAGGCATTGTTTTTCGCCATTAAAGGGCTTTCTGCCAAAATTTTGGTAATTGAGATGAAATATTTCTTCTGAGCTCATTTGTCACTGAAGTATGATGTCCTGATAGATTTCATCTTCTGTTTCTCTGCATGGATGGATGATAGTTATCATCTTCCATCATATGCTTCTCCTTTGTGGGAAAAAATGATGACATTTGTAAACTAAGCCACTATTGTTTTTTTCTACAGACCAAATATGTTTTTCCTTGCCCTTTATTTTCTAGGAGTCATGCAAGCCCAAGTGGGAATGCAAGGAGGTGGACCAGTGCCCATGGAAAGAGGACAAGGTTAAATATTAAATATCTGTTGTATATATACTGAACATGGAAATGTTCTATATCTGCACTGTCTAATGTTCAGCCACTAACCACCAGTGGCAATTTAAAGATTAAGTTAATTAAAATCAAGTTTAAATTAAGTAACGCCTAACGGTCTTATTTCCTGGGAACAATAATTGCATTTCAAGTGTTCAGTAGCCAAGTACTTAGTAGCCACACGTGCTAATGAAGACCAGACTGGACATTGCAGATGTAGAATGTTTCAATGGTCAACAAAACTTCTCTTGGTCCAGACTTTCCATAGGGGATATTCAGAGCTTAGCTCTACAGGAATTGGTGATATAGCATATGCATCCTTTGTTTCCTGACAGTCTGACAGATCCACTGGCATGTTCTCAATCTGTGAGTAGCTGTTGACTTTGTAAGAAGATTTACTAGTGAGAATATAGTATGTGACCAGGACTGTAGATGTCAAGATATAATCACTGTAGAAAACTGGGAGCAAAGCAGAGGTCTATAAAGCATAGTTGCAGTGTTTCCTGCACTGTGGCAAAAACACTGTATATATAAGAGCAGCAGCCCTTCCAGAATCTTTGCATTCTTTCCTCATATTATTGGAGTCTGAAGGAAGAGAAAGTATAGTAGTTCAGTTCAAAACAACAGACAATAGAAAAAAGGAAACTGAATATATACTGTAAATACTCAGTCACTTCGTTTCCGTGGACAACCTTGTTAAGGTAGGTGGCAGTGCCTCAGTTTTACAGGTAAAGAAATGGAAGCACAGGAGTTTTCTCAATGGGCTACGGTAAGTACATACTCATACCTCTGAGAATGATCTGGTGTTCTCTTTTGACTTAAAAATTAAAATCCTTAAATCCAAAATCTGCCCTTACCAGGTGGTGGTGACATACCCAGCACTCTGGAGAAGGCAGATCTATGTGAGTTCAAGGCCAGCCAGTTCTACAAAGCGAGTTTCAAGACACCCAGGGCTGTTAGACAGAGAAATCCTGTCTTGGAAAGCCAAAAAAACGTAATAACAAAATTTGCCCTCTTCCCATCATTCTATACTGCCAGTGTTAATTTCAGAATTAATTTTCAAAATACTATGCTTACTCAAAAGGTTCCTCCTGTGATGGGAATAGATTGCTTTGAACAAGAACAGAGGGATTTAATATTTTTCTTTTTAGTGAATTTCTTAGAAGAGAAACCTACTTCAAAAGCAAAATATTAAGATATATAGGCCATGGTTTATACAGAGTCATTGGTGATTGAAATGAAGAGTCTACACATGTCTCATCAGATAAATGGCAACAAGACAAACTTCTGCCAAATAGCTCCTCTTCCCTCTAAAACATTCCATGCTTCTGTGCTGCTGTGTACTTCCATCCTATTGCTGTCAGTATGTGCTGTATCTAACCCAAAGTACCTTTGCAGTAGTGAAAAGGGTTTAGGCTTCCATTAAATCTCTCCCTCTTCCTAGGCTATTAGTCTCAGTGAATCCCTCAGCCGCTTAACACATATTTCTATGAGACATCTTCCTACTGTAATTTAACCCCATCTTTCTGGAAAGAATTAACAAAAGGGATTGACTTGCATTTTGAAACTATTTCAAGGATCTATTGATACAAAGATTAAAATGAAATGAGATTAAAAAATAATTTCCTTCAGTACCTAGTATAGGAAACAATGTTTTCATTTGTGACCAAATTTGTCTTCCTGTGCCTGGAATCCTTGTTCATTTGTGCATTTGTAATGGTGACAAGAGATGTTTGAGATGGTGCTTCTTGCTTTCCCGCCTCCTTTGTTTAATGTTGATGACTGTGTTGGCTCATTAATCTTTGTCATGTTTTTTTATAATCATAGACTTTATGTAGTAGGCTGTTTCATTCGTAACTCTCTTTCATGGAAAGTTCATCAGCTGCATTGACCCATTTAATATTTTTTGACAGAAATGTTTGACTTTTTTCATTTTTACAACATCATTTTATTATACCCTTCACATTTTTGGTTTTTTTTTTAGGTGAGTAAATACATTTTTTAAGCATGTGAAGAAATTAAAAAGCCACTCTCACAAGCACGAACAATTCTTTTTTTCTTTTCCCCCTTTTTTTAATGATTTTTTTATTGAGCTCTACATTTTTCTCTCCTACTCTCCCTGCCTCTCCCCTCGCCCCTTCAATCCTTCCCCAAGGTCCCCATGCTCCCAATTTACTCAGGAGATCTTGTCTTTACTTCCTACTTCCCATGTAGAATAAGTCTTATGTAAGTCTCTCTTAGTGTCCTCATGGTTGTCTAAATTCTCTGTGGGACTGGGGTTTGTAGGCTGGCTTTCTTTGCTTTATGTTTAAAAACCACATGTGATAACTTGTCTTTCTGTGTCTGGGTTACCTCAATCAATAATGCTTTCTAGCTCCATACGTTTGCCTGCAAAATTCAAGCTGTTGTTATTTTTTCTGCTGTGTAGTACTCCATTGTGCAAATGTACCACATTTTCCTTACCCATTCTTCGGTCGAGGGGCATTTAGGTTGTTTCCAGGTTCTGACTATGACAAACAAAGCTGCTATGAACGTAGTTGAGCACATGTCCTTGTGGCTTGATTGAGCATTCTTTGGATATATACCCAAAAGTGGTATTACTGGATCTTGAGGAAGGTTGTTTCCTAATTTTCTGGGAAATTGCAACACTGACATCCAAAGGGTTGTACCAGCTTGCATTCCCACCAGCAATGCAGACGTGTTCCCTTTTCCACACATCCTCTCCAGCATAAGTTGTCATCGGTGTTTTTGATCTTGGCCATTCTTACAGGTGTAAGATGGAATCTCAGAGTTATTTTGATTTGTATTTCTCTGATGACGAGGGATGTTGAACATTTCCTTATGTGCCCTTCAGCCATTTTAGATTCCTCTGTTGAGAGTTCTCTGTTTATGTCTATAGTCCATTTTTTATTGGATTATGTGTTCTTTTGATGACCAATTTCTTGAGTTCTTTGTATATTTTGGAGATCAGACCTCTGATGTGAGGTTAGTGAAGATTTTTCCCTATTCTCTAGGCTGTCGTTTTGTCTTATTGACCATGTCCTTTGCTTACAGAAGCTTTTCAGTTTCAGGTCCCATTTATTAATTGTTTCTCTCAGTGTCTGTGCTGCTGGGGTTATATTTAGGAGGTAGTCTCCAGTGCCAATGCGTTCAAGTGTATTTCCCACTTTCTCTTCTATAAGGTTCAGTGTGGCTGGCTTTATGTTGAGGTCTAAGGTCCATTTGGATTTGAGTTTTGTACATGGTGATAGATATTGGTCTATTTTCATTCTTCTACATGTTGATATCCAGTTATGCAAGCACCACTTGTTAAATATGCTTTCTTTTTTCCATTTGATGTTTTTTGCTTCTTTGTCAAAAATCAGGTGTTCGAAGATGTGTGGATTGATATCCGGGTCTTCTGTTCAGTTCCATTGGTCCTCCTGTCTGTTCTTATGCCAATACCAGGCTGTTTTCAGTACTGTAGCTCCATAGTAGAGTTTGAAGTCAGGGATTGTGATGCCTTCAGAAGTTCTTTTATTGTACAGGATTGTTTTGGCTATCCTGGGTTTTTGACTTTTCCATATGAAGTTGAATACTGTTCTTTCATGGTCTTTGAAGAATTTTTCTGGGATTTTGATGAGCATAGCATTGAATCTGTAGTTTGCTTTTGGTAAGATTGCCATTTTTAGTATGTTAATTCTGCCTACCCAAGAGCATGCGAGATCTTTCCACTTTATGGTGTCTCCTTCAATTTCTTTCTTTAAACATTTAATGTTCTTGTCATACAAGTCTTCCACTTATTTGGTTAGTTACTCCGAGATATTGTATGCTATTTGTGGCTATTGTGAGGGGTGTTGGTTCTCTGAGTTCTTCACCCAGCCCTTTTATCATGTGTGTACAAGAGGGCTACTAATGTTTTTGAGTTAATCTTGTATCCTACTACATTGCTGAAAGTGTTTATGAGTTGTAGAAGTTCCTTGGTAGACTTTTTGGGGTCGCTTATGTAAACTCTCATATCATCAGCTAACAGTGAGAGTTTGACTTCTTTTCCAATTTGTATCCACTTGATCTCCTTTTGGTGTCTTATTGCCCTAGCTAAGACCTCAAAATATATTGAATAGATATAGCGAGTGGACAACCTTGTCTTGTTCCTGATTTCAGTGAATCGCTGGGAGTTTCTCTCCATTTAGTTTGATGTTGGCTTGCTGTATATTGACTTTACTATCTTTAGGTATGTTCCTTGTATTCCTGCTCTCTCCAAGACCTTTATCATGAAGGGATGTTGTATTTTGTTGAAAGCTTTTTCGGCATCTAATGAGATGATCATGTGGTTTTTATTTTTCAGTTTGTTTATATGGTGGATTATGTTGACAGATTTTCATATGTTGAACCATCCCTGCATCTCTGGGATGAAGCTGATTTGATCATGATGGATGATGGTTCTGATGTGTTCTTAGACTCAATTTGTCAGTATTTTATTTATTATTTTTGCATCAATGTTCATGAGTGAGATTGGTCTGTAATTCTCTTTCTTAGTAATGTCTTTCTGTGGTTTGGGTGTCAGGGTGATTGTAGCCTCAAAAAAAAAGGAGTTTGGCAATGTTCCTTCTGTTTCTATTGTATGGAATAATTTGAGGAGTATTAGTATTAGTTCTTTGAAAGTCTTGTAGAATTCTGAGCTGAACCCATCTATCTGGTCCTGGGCTTTTTTTTTTTTTTTTTTTTTGGTTGGGAGACTTTTGATGACTGTTTCTATTTCTTCAGCCAGTTATAGGTCTGTTTAATTTGCTTATCTAGTCTTGATTTAATTTTGGTAAGTGATATTTATCCAGAAAGTTGTCCTTTCCTTTAAGTTTTCCAATTTTGTGGAGTACAGGTTTTTGAAATATGACCTGATGATTCTCTGGATTTCTGTGCCTGTTGCTATGTCCCCCTTTTCATTTCTGATTTTGTTAATTTGGATATTCTCGTTCTGCCTTTTGGTTAGTTTGGATAAAGGTTTGTCTATTTTGTTGATTTTTCTGGGAGAACCAACTCTTTGTCTCACTGATTCGTTGTATTGTTTTCTTTGTTTCTACTTTGTTTTCAGTTTTCACTTTATTTCCTTCAGTCTATTTCTCTTAGGTGAGTTTGCTTCTCTTTGTTCTAAAGTTTTCATATGTTCTGTTAATTTACCAGTGTGGGATTTTTCCAGCTTCTTTATGTAGGTGTTTAGTGCTATGAACTTTCCTCTTAACACTGCTTTCATTGTGTCCCATAAATTTGGGTATGTTGTGTGGTCATTTTCATTGAATTTTAGGAAGTCTTTAATTTCTCCCTTTATTTCTTCCTTGACCCATTGATGATTCAGGTGAGCATTTTTTAATTTCCATGTGTTTGTAGGCTTTCTGGAACTAGTATTGCTGTTGACTTCTAGTTTTATACCATGATGTTCTGATAAGGTACATTGGGTTATTCCAATTTTTTTGTATTTGTTGAGCTTTGTTTTGTTACCGAGTATGTGGTCAATTTTTGAGAAGGTTCCATGAGGTGCTGAGAAGAAGGTATATTCTTTTCTGTTTGGATGGAATATTCTATAGATGTCTGTTAAGTCCATTTGAGTCATAACATCTGTTAGTTTCCTTATTTCTCTGTTCATTTTTTGTCTGATTGACCTATCCAGTGGTGAGAGGGGGAGTGTTGAAGTGTGTGTGGTTTAATGTATGATTTAAGCTTTAGAAGTATTTCTTTGACATATGAGGGTGCCCTTGCATTTGGGGCATAGATGTTCAGTATTGAGATTTCCTCTTGATGGATGTTTCCTTTTACTAATATAAAATGATATTCCTTGTCTCCTTTCACTGATTTAAGCTTGAAGTCTATTTTGTTAGATATTAGGATACCTATACCCACTTGTTTCTTAGATCCATTGGTTTATTTTTTTCCAACCCTTTACTCTGAAACGATGTCTGTCTTTGAGGTTGAGATGTGTTTCTTGTATGCAGAAGAAGGATGGATTATTCTGTTTTCGTATCCAATCTGTTAGCCTGTGCCTTTTTATAGGTGAATTGAGTCCATTTATATTAAGGGATATTAATCACCAGTGATTTCTATCTTCTGTTAATGTAGTTTTCATTGTTGATGATTTTAATTAATGCATTTTTCCCTTCTTTGGGATTTGCTGCTTTGAGACATCAATTGTCTGTGTTTTGCAGCCATCTTACTTGGGTTGGAGTTTTCTTTCTAGTATTTTGTGTAGGGCTGGGTTTGTGGCTAGGTATTGGTGAAATCTAAATTTGTCATGGAATATCTTGTTTTGACCTTCTATGGTGATTGACAGTTTTGCTGGGTATAGTAGTCTGGGCTGGCACCCATTGTCTCTTAATGTCTGCATAACCCTTGACCACGACTTTCTGGATTTCATTGTTTCCAATGAGAAGTCGGGTGTAATTCTGATAGGTTTACCTTTATATGTTACTTGTCCTTTTTTCTTTGCAGCTTTTAATATTCTTTTTTTTACTCTGTATGTTTAGTGTTTTGATTATTATGTGGCAAGAGGACTTTTTATTTGGATCCAGTCTATTTGGTGTTCTGTAAGCTTCTTGTATTTTCATAGATATATCTCTCCTTAGGTTGGAAAAGTTTTCTTCTAGGATTTTGTTAAATTTATTTTCTGTGCCTTTGAGTTGAACTTCTATACCTATTAGATTTGGCCTTTTCATGGTGTCCCATAGTTCCTGGATATTTTGGGTTAAGCTCTTGTTAGATTTAATGTTTTCTTTAACTGATGAGTCTATTTCCTCTATTGTATCTTCAGCGCTTGCGATTCTCTCTTCCATTTCTTGTATTCTGTTCATGCTTGCATTTGTGGTTCCTGATTGTTTTCTCATGCTTTCTGTTTCTATAATTCCCTCGGTTTGTGTTTTCTTTATTGCCTCTATTTCGGTTTTCAAGTCCTGAATAGTTTCTTTCATATGTTTGATTTCTTTTTCTTGGTTTTCTTTAAGTGATTTGCTGACATCTTCCAATTTTTGTTTATCTTTTCCTCCATTTCTTTAAGGGAATTTCTCATTTCTTCTTTTAGAGATTCAAACATTCTCTTGAAGTTATTTTTTAGATCATTTTCTTCTTCATCCATATTTGGTTGTTCAGGTATTGCTGTTGTAGGGTCTTTAGGTTTTACTGGTGTTGTGTTTCTCTTTGCTATGTCGCGTATGTTCTTACCTTTTCTACTCATCTTTTTGCTAATAGGTGTGGTTGGGTCTGTCTGAGATTCTGTTGTATAATCTAGGTTCCAGTGAATCTAAAGCTCAGGTGGTTGTTCCTTGTGATATAGTCGGTGTCACAGTTCTAGTTACCCTGCTGGTTACTCTACTCTTGGAGACAGCTCGGCGCTCCTGTGCTTTGTTCTGCTCCCTTAGAGTTTGCTGTCTCAGGCCTACTTTGACCTAGGTTGCTGGCTTTGCCCTGTTTTTGTAAATTCTGGTCTTGAACCCCTCCTGCAGAAGTCCCTGGGTTGCAGTTGGACCTGGAAAGGTTTCTGGCTCCAATCTACTGCCTTGGAGGTCCCAGGCTTTGGTACATCTGGAATCACAGAGGACCTCCTTACTCCCTCAGAGGTCCCAGACTCACGCTAGGACCCACAGAGGTCCTGGCTCAGGCCTACTCTCTTCAAGTACCCAGACTCACGCCTGGCCCCGCCGAGATCTCTGGTTCCTGCATATTTCCTCAGAGGTCCCAGGTTCACTCACGCCCAGACTGGCAGAGGTCATGGCTCAGGCCTAGTTCCTAGGAGGACCTAGACTCACGCCCAGATCCACCAGGGTCCTGGTTTAGGTCTACTCCCTTGAAGGTTGCAGATTCATGTTGGGACCCTACGTGGTCTCTGGCTCTGGCTCACTCACTCAGCTGTTACTCCCCTGTACCTGTTCTAGTGGAGATAGCTGATTCTGGATCTGGTTGCTGGCTCAGTCCTGGTCTGCCAATGTCCTGGGACTGGGTTGGCTCCCAGGACTGAATTTGCTCCTGGCTTCTGCTCCTGGTGAAGCTTGTTGCTCTCTGTCCTAGGTAGCTCATTCAGAGCCACTCCTGTGGAATTTGTTGCCCAAGGTGGAGTTCCTTGCCTCAGAGCAAATGTGGCCTAGGTTACCAGATTTGACCTGTATCTGTAAATCCTGGTTTGAATTTCCTGCTGCAGGAGTCCCTGGGTTGGAGCTGGATGTGGAAAGGTTTCTGGCTCCTGTCTACTGCTTCAGGTGCACCTGGACCTACAGAGGACCTGCTTACTCCTTCAGAGGTCCCAGACTCACGCTAGGACCCAGGTTCCTATTCCCTTTGATGTCCACAGAAGTCCTGGCTCAGCCCTACTCTCTCTGAGTACCCAGACTCATGCTTGTCCCCGCCAAGATCTCTGGTTCCTGCCTGTTCCCTTGGAGGTCCCAGGTTCACTTACGCCCAGAGTGGCAGAGGTCATGGCTCAGGCCTAGTTCCTGGGAGGTCCTAGACTCATGCCCAGACCCACCGGGGTCCTGGCTTTCGTCTACTCCCTTGAACGTCCCAGATTCACGTCCGGACCCTCAGCAGTCTCTGGCTCTAGCTTACTAGCTCAGCGCTTACTCCCCTGTACCTGTTCCAGTGGAGATTGCTGAGTTTGGGTCAGATTACATGCTCAGTCCTGATCCGCCAGTGTCCCAGGACTGGATTTGCTCCCGGTGGAGCTTCTAACTTTTAAATGAGACAAAATTAGTATTGCCATTAGTGTGGGTCCATTAATGGCCTATCTCTGATAAATCTCATGTCACATTCCATTTGGAATTTATTTCATGTTTTATTTCTGAAAATACATTTTTCTCTATTTCTTTTTTTAATGCACAAGAAGACATAAAGGAAAATTCTGTAGTAACAGAAAGGAGAGTCCAAAATTGCTGGTTATTCTTGCCCAAGTAAACCAGTACACACGTTTCCCTTAAGAAAGATGCCTGTCAAAGTGGAACTGTTGGATAAGAGAAAGGCCTCCTGTATTTAGGAAGTTTTGTAGGCCGGGGCAAACTAACGAACTCTCAGCTTTTACTGACATGTAAGTCTCCATTCTCTATATGTGTATGTTCCTGTGTGTGTGCAAGCTATTTTAAGTGTCTGCTATTTCTCCTTTTGAACTTACTGCTCACCTAGGAACCCTACAGCACTCGCCCGTGGGACCCACCGGGCCTGCATCAATTGAGCGAGTTCAAGGTATCCATTGTATCTGCGGGTTTCCTTTTGCTTGCGGTATTCAGGGTGGGATGTTGAAAGGAAAGGAGCTGCTTGGCAGTCATCCTCACATTCATAACCCCAAAAGGGTAGTGTTTTGGGGTATTTTTTCTTTTTGTTAGTTTTGTGGCTTTTTTTTCTCTTGGGGCCACAAGCCTAAGATTGACCTTTTCACACAGGGCAGAGAACATGGATGATATGGGCATCTGTCCAAAGATCTACTCTCTCCCTACTGGTGTCAGGAGGCTTGGCTGGAATAGTAATCTGTAAGGAGACTGCAGGTTCCTGCAGAGCCATGGCAGGGTTCCTATGCCAAGAACTTACCTTTCTTTTGTGACTCTGGTTCTTAACCTAAGATTGATTAGAAGGAAAACCAAGATCATAAGTTTATTCAGGTTACAGTGCTAGTCCTTGGCAGGTGGCTCCCCAGTTTGTTCTTTATATAATTCCATCCATACCTCTAAAATGGCACTGTTTCTGCCCTTGAGCTGCAAGAGGATTCTGCTGTGGTGAGGTTTCACCCACTCTAAGGTGTCTGAATTATGTTGTCAGTGCTATAGTCATTTCTTGTTTCCTAATGTGTCTTTCACAGCAGTAACTCCCTGTTTGTTTCCCTGCCAGTGCCAATGCAAGACCCCAGAGCAGCTATGCAGCGGGGAGCCTTGCCTGCCAATGTCCCAACTCCTCGTGGTCTGTTAGGAGATGCCCCCAATGACCCACGGGGAGGCACTTTAATGTCTGTAACTGGAGAGGTAGAGCCTAGGTAAGTACTCATGTAGAAGGAAACACCCTGAGAAGTTGAAAAGTTTCCTTACATTGAAAGCAAATGGTCGGACCTGTTTGCCTGCTTTAAAAGATAAATAAGATTTGTAACCACTGTCTAAAACTAAGCACTTTTCCGAAAACATAATCGTATAGCTAAGAAGGTAATTTTGAAGCTGGGCGGTGGTGGCGCACGCCTTTAATTGCAGCACTCAGGAGGCAGAGACAGGCAGATCTCTGTGAGTTTGAGGCCAGCTTGATCTACAAGAACGAGTTCCAGGACAGGCTCCAAAGCTACAAAAAACCCTCTTAAAAAAAGAAAAAGAAGATAACTTGGAGCCAACAATGACTGTTGTATTTTCAGAAATTGAAAATTATAGTAATATATACCTAAACAAGGAAAACGTGAGGTAATGGTACTATTAATGACAGTAGTTGTTGATGTTGGTGGGGATCACACCTCTAGCTTTTCTCTAAGTACTTAAATCACCTCATTATATCTGCCTTAGGCCGGGGGTGTAACTCCCATGGTAAGAGCACTTGCCTAACATTTCCAATGTCCTAGTTCAATCCTCAGCCCCACAAAGATAGACAAATAAATCCATTTAACCTTAGAAATGACTATTCTTAGTCCTATTTTACAGGTAAAGAAACCAGGGCATATAGTGGTTAAGGTAGTGACCACATAGCTAATAAATGGTAAGACCTAGATTTCAGCCATTTATTCTGAATCCAGAATCTGCATTGCTAAGCAGTCTACTGCATATTCATTGTACTTATAGTGTCTATTAATTCTTTACTAATTTTAAATGCCCTGATCAAATAAATTCCAGAATGCATAGATTTACATTCTATAGATTTCTTTTGTCTGTGTGATGTTACTTTTTTTTTGTTTTGTTTTGTTTTTTGAGACAGGGTTTCTCTGTAGCTTTGGTGCCTGTCCTGGAACTAGCTCTTGTAGACCAGGCTGGCCTCGAACTCCCAGAGATCCGCCTGCCTCTGCCTCCCGAGTGCTGGGATTAAAGGCGTGCACCACCACTGCCCAGTGTGATGTTACTTTGTTACCATTTATTTACTGATATTTGTATTAGTTTTCTGTTGGATGTTTGTATACTGATCGGATTGACATTTCAATGTTGGTACGTTCTGCTTTAAAATATGTCACTTCTCTCCATCTCTAGAGCTTACTTGGGACCCCCACCACCACCTCATCAGGGCCCACCCATGCACCATGTTCCTGGCCATGAAGGTCGTGGACCACCCCCACATGACATGAGGGGAGGTCCATTAGCTGAGCCCAGACCTTTAATGGCAGAGCCAAGAGGACCCATGATAGATCAGAGGGGTCCACCCATGGATGCTAGAGGTAAGGGGAAACTGCATCACAACTCCAGCTAATAGCCATGGTTGGTGAAGAATTTGACTCTCTTCAGCTCTAATATGGGACAGAAGTCTTGGGAAAGAGTTTTTACGATTTACCTACAAATCTGATAAACTGGAAAGGAGACAGTGTCACAGACAAGGAGAGATGTGACTAGAAGTTAGTAGCTATACTAACTGGTTTTCTTACAACTTTCTAGGTGGAAGAGATCCCCGAGGATTAGATGCACGAGGGTTGGAGGCCAGAGGACTGGATGCCAGGGGACTGGAGGCCCGTGCCATGGAGGCCCGTGCCATGGAGGCCCGTGCCATGGAAGCCCGTGCCATGGAAGCCCGTGCCATGGAGGCCAGAGGCATGGATACCAGAGGCCCGGTACCTGGACCTAGAGGACCTATACCTAGTGGAATCCAAGGTCCCAATCCAATGAACATGGGGGCTGTCGTTCCCCAGGGATCAAGACAGGTAATACTTATAGTATCTACATAAAATCTTAATGTATTTGGGGATTTGTTACTGAGCCTGATATTTGTTGTCTTCTGACTTGAATGAATTTGCTTGTTAGAAAGGAGAGAATAGGCTCTCCTTTTACTTTCTCATATCCCTTAGGAGAAGGGTGACTAGCCTCTAATACTTAACCCAAAAGAACAACCTTGTTTCACTATTTCAGAAAAACCTCTGAAAATGAAAATGTACAGGGCAGGGAGTACTTTGCACTAAGTATATAAACCATCAATGTGTACAAAGTCCCCCCACCAAATACTTGTGCAGATCTTAGGCCATTTGAAAAACCTCCCCCAAATGATTACCATGTACAACCTGAACTAGAGCATTTGAGGAGTTGCATTCATTTAGATTATCTCGGGGTGGCAGAGACCTGTGTGGATCTATTATCATGAAAGCATCTAAATAAACAGTGGTATAGGAAAGGCCATCTGCATATAATTCTGGAACTGCAGTCTGTCGCTTTTCTGTCTCCTTCACTTGGCTCACTTCAGCTGTATGTATGGGATGCTTTATAAGTCACCTCATTTTTATCATCTCCAGTTAGTTGTGGGAAGATGGAATGTGTGTATCTTCTCAAGTTTCTATATGTTGGTGCCTTCGTTTTTCATTTCTTTCTTCCCATTTTCATGTGCTTCTGTGTCTTCCAGTGTATTTGGGGATTGGGAGAGAAAGAAGAGAGGAAAATATCAAAACTAGAATGCAACATGTCTGGCATCTAGTTCTCTGATTTTATAGGTTTGGAAGGTGAAGGCCAGAAGTTGCAGAATGAGCAGGCTGCTTGTTCATCCCGACCACCCAGCTAGCTTAGTCCCAAAATAACGACACAGAAATTGTATTAATTAAATCACTGCTTGGTTCATTAGTTCTAGCCTCTTATTGGCTAACTCTCACATCTTGATTTAACCCATTTCTATTCATCTGTATATCGCCACATGTCAGTGGCTTACCGGCAAGATTCTAACCTGTGTCCATCTCAGGCAGAGGATCCTTGGCATCTCTCTGACTCTGCTTTCTTCCTCCCAGCATTCCGTTTAATTTTCCCCGCCTACCTAAGTCTGGTGACTTGGCCAAATTCACCTAACTAAAAAAATAACGGAGCAAGAAATACAGCTTGTTCATCTATTCTGCTTCTCTGTCCTATTTGCATCTATATATTGTCTCTGTGTGTGGGTGTTTGCCTGATCCTCCCTAATTTGAGATAAAAATGTGGCTTTTTTTGGTATATATAGAATAAAAATTTATTTTATTTTGTAGTTCAGGTTTTGCTTTTAAAAATGTGTTTGTGAAAAAAAAATAAAAATGTGTTTGTGGGCTTTGATTTTTGTTGCATGCTCTATGGTCAATAGCCTCAACACATTTTTATACATCTTTTCAATACCCCTGAGCTATACCCCCAGCCCAATATAGTTTTTATTAAAAGTCTATAAAGTCAGTTAAATCCAAGGTAGAGAAAATAAGAACTTAAAATTGATACTTTTTACATTTTAGCAATATAGTCAATAATTATATAATAATACATCCCAGCCATCTATAAAAGTGTTATGTTAGGAACCTCAACTTCCTCTTCTGTATCTTTCACTTGTGATAGACAATTGCCTTTATTAGATTGATTTTTTTGAGACAAAGTCTTTTCATGTAGCCCTGGCTGACCTGAAACTCACTATATATACTGGGCTGGCCTTGAACTCACTGAGATTTGCCTGCCCCTGTCTCAGGAGTGATGGACTTGAAGGCATGCACCACCATATTTTGCTTATCTGATATTTTTAGTGTAGCTTTCTACTGTTATCCTTTTTATGATCTTTGTTTTTTTAACTTAATATGGCCTTCATATCCCTTTAAATTAGATTTTAAATTTAACTCCAGTCCACACAGTTAGAAGCATGTAGCTAAGAGGCTTGTTGTTATAGGGTGGTTATATAATTTGTCATACAAAGAAGAAAACATTCAAGAATGAAAGTGTTAATAATTTACCCTGAGGGGAAAAAAAACATAAACTGGGATTGTCTTAGGCCAACCAAGGTATTTGACCAGTCTTACTAGTATTTATCTGCCTAGTACAGATATTCCTAGAAACTTCAACTGGCCATTTGGGGTAGTTATTTCATACTGCAGTGTCTCAGATTGGTATAAATCAGTATTAGTAAATTCCTAAGTGACTGTACCCAGAGGTTGTTCATATCCATAATTATTAAGGTTTATGCAAGTCCCTGAACTAAGTATTAATATAGATAGCATCCTTTATGTGCCATTGCTTCATGTCCCCAGTGTCTGAGAAAAGAGCTGATGCATGAGAGTAAGTATTTCAGATGTCTTAGTTACTGTTGCTGTGAAGAAACACAATGAAAATGGCAACTCTTTTTATTTAAATAACATTTTTTTCATTTATTTTACATCCCAATCAGTTCCCCTTCCTCCTTTTGTCCTGTCCCCCTTTCCCATCTACCCTCCCTATGCAGTCCTCCATCTCCATTCAGAAAGGGACAGGGGACAATGGCAACTCTTACAAGAGATAGCATTTAATTGAGGGCTTGCTTACAGTTTCAGAGTTTTAGTTCCATTATCATGGTGGGAAGCATGACAACATGTAGAAAGAGCTGCAGGCAGGCCTGCTTTTCGTCCCGCCCAGCTCCCACATGGCTAGCTTTACACCCAAAATAACAACACACAAACTGTATTCATTTAAACACTGCCTGGCCCATTATATCTAGCCTCTTACTGGCTAACTCTCATATCTTGATTAAACCATTTCTATTGTGTGTAGCACCACGAGGTGGTGTCTTACCAGGAAGATTCTAACCTATGTTCATCTTGCGCTGGAGCTTCATCACATCTGCCTCACTGCTTTCTTCCTCCCAGCATTCTGTTCTGTCTTCCCCATCTACCTATGTCAAGCAGTTTTCTTTATTAATTAACCAATGAAAGAAACAGATAGATAGAAGACCCACCTACATCAACAGCAGGCATGGCATGCATGGTGCTGGAGAAGTAGATGAGAGCTACATCCTGATCTATAAGCAGAAAGGGAGATACTGGGCTTGGCATGGGTGTTTGAAACCCCCAAAGCCTATCTCCCAATGACCTGCTTCCTAAACCTTTGAAATAGTGCAACTCCCTGGTAAATAAGCATTCAACCATGTGAGTCTGTGGGGGCCATTTTTACTCATACCACCACATTTGACTCCCTGGCTCTGATTGACTTATAGCTATATCATAACACAAAAATGCATTCTACCACCACCTGGCTTCAACTTCAAAAGTCACCATATTCCATCACAGTCTCAATACTGTCCAAAAGTTCAAAGTCTCATCTGAGACTCATGACAATCTCTTAACTATAAACCCATAAAATAAAAATAAAAAGGTCAGTCACACAGTTCCAACATACACTGACACATTACCATTTCAAAAAGAAGGAAAGGAAGCATTGTAAGAATTAAATCCGGACTAGCTGAACATAGCGGACAATGAGGACTACTGAGAACTCAAGAACAATGGCAGTGGGTTTTTGATCCTACTGCACGTACTGGCTTTGGGGGAGCCTAGGCAGTTTGGATGCTCACCTTACTAGACCTGGATAGAGGTGGGCGGTCCTTGGGCTTACCACAGGTCAGGAAACCCTGACTGCTCTTCTAACGGATGAGGGAGGGGGACTTGATGGGGGAGGGGGAGGGAAATGGGAGGCGGGTGCAGGGAGGAGGCAGAAATCCTAAATAAATAAATAAATAAATAAATAAATAAATAAATAAATAAATAAATAAATAAATAGAAAATACTGGACCAAAGCAAGACTGAAAATCAGCTGGGCAAACTCCAAACTCTGGATCTTCATGTCTGATGTCAAAATGCTCTTCAGATCTCCAACTCCTTTCCACTTTGTTGACTGCAGCACATTTCTCTCTTGGGCTGGATCCACACCCAATCTGCAACTTTTCTTGGCAGATATCCCATGACTCTGGCATCTCTAACATCTTAGGAGTCTCCAGTGAAATCTAGGCTTTACTTTCACAGTTTCACACAATGGCCTCTCTATGTCACCATACAAGGACACCTTAACACATGCCTGGCCTCAGCAGCTTTACTTAGCCTCAGAGGGATATTCCACGACCCCATTTTTGTATCATTGACTCTAAAGCCAGAATTCCTTTTGGGCTAGGTGCCAAGTAGTACTGCTTGATGGGGTGGCTTGAATTAGGCCTCCTTGTTCATAATAGACATTTGCATCAGCCTTTGATGTTGATGGCTTCCTTTACTGCTTAAGATTTTCTTCTTTTTCACTAATTGAAGCTTAGATGGGTGGGGTCTTGCTCTGAGGTCACCACTCCTTTTATTCCATTTAGCATCAGGCTTTTCTTAAACTTTTTATCTCCTTGAGCACTGAAATTTTGTTCTGTTGCACTTCCTGGTCCTGCTTTTCTCCTCAAACTGTACATTTTATATTTTTCCTTGCTCAGCTTTTTCCTTTTCTTTATATATCTGAATAAGAGGGGCCACAAGACATAGTCAATATTTGGCAGTCTTGAAATCTCTGCTAGTGCCATTAATCTAAAACTGTTCAATTTGGCCTCAGGCATATTTTTAACACTCAGGCAAAAACAGCTACATTCTTTGCCAAAATGTCGCAATGGTCCCTAGGCCACTTACTAATATCATTCCCATCTGAAACTTCTTGAGCTGGGTTCAAATCACCCTTAGCACTATTGTCACTGTTCTGCTAAGATAGCCCATTGAGCCCTACTTAAAGCATTCAACCTCTTTTCTTCCCTCCTTCCCTTCCTCCCTTCCTTTCTTTCTTTTCTTTTTCCTTTTTTTGGGGGGAGGGGTGGGGTTTTTTTTGGGGGGGGGGTTTCGAGACAAGGTTTCTCTGTAGCTTTGGAACCTGTCCTGGAACTAGCTCTTGTTGACCAGCCTGGCCTCAAACTCAGAGATCTGCCTGCCTCTGCCTCTCAAGTGCTGGAATTAAAGGTGTGCGCCACCACCGCCTGCCCCTCTTTTCCTTTTTTTAAAGATTTATTTATTTTTATTACGAATGCAGTGTTCATAATAAAAATAAATAGATGAATATTTTTATTATGGTTATTTTTATTATGAATAGTGCTCTGCATGTATGCCTGCAAGCCAGAGGAAGTTGCCAGATCTCATTATAGATGGTTGCTGGGAATTGAACTCAAGATCTCTGGAAGGACAGCCAGTGCTCTTAACCACTAAGCCATCTCTCCAGCCCCCAACCCCTTTTCTAGTTCAGAGGCTTCCATATTCCACCAACAAACAGCCTGCTACAGCAATACCCCAGTCCCTGGTACCAAGTTATGTCGTAGTCACTTTTATATTGCTGTGAAGAGACACAATGACCACTCCCCTTAGTTTTTCTTTTGAGCCTGCCCTGGAACTTGCTCTGTAGACAGGCTGACCTCGAACTCACAGAGATTTGCCTGCCTCTGCCTCCAAAGTGCTGGAATTAAAGGAGTTAGCTATCACCACCCAACATGACCACAACAGGTCTTAGCTGGCTTACATTTTGGGAAGTTTAGCCCCATTATTTTCATGGTGGGAAGCATGGCAGTAGACATGCAATGCATGGTGCTGGAGAAGTAGATGAGAGCTACATCCTGATCCAAAAGGCAGAGGGAGATACTGAGTTTAACATGAACTTTTGAAACCTCAAAGCTCCCTACCTGCAGTGATACACTTCCTCCAACAATGCCACACATCTTAATCCTTTCAAATAGTGCCACTCTATGGTGAGTAAGCATTCAAATATATGAGCCTGTGAGGGCCATTCTTATTCAAACCACCATACCAGATGAAAGAACTATTCTAAAAGTTGTTTGAGCTGTTTTAGTGAAAAAGGATCGACTGAATGTATATTTTTCCTCTTTTTTAATTTATTTTTTAATATATGTTATTGTGTTGTCCTTGATGTTTTTATTATTATTATTATTAAAAATTTCCACCTCCTCCCCGCCTCTCTTTTCCCTCCCCCTCCCCCCACTCCCCACCCCCCACACAGTCAGGGTTCCCTGCCCTGTGGGAAGTCCAAGGTCCTCCCACCTCCATCCAGGTCTAGGAAGGTGAGCATCCAAACTGCCTAGGCTCCCACAAAGCCAGTACGTGCAGTAGGATCAGAAACCCACTGCGATTGTTCTTGAGTTCTCAGTAGTCCTCATTGTCCGCCATAGTGACCCTTCACCAGCACAACTCTCTGAATGTATTTTATGCTTCCTATTTTCTTAAGTAAATTGCAAAAATATTTAAATCATTTTTGATTATTCAAAATCGACATGGAAATAGATCTGTTATTATTTATGTTATAGTTTTATCCTGTAGTGTATCTGCCCCTTTTACTGATGGACTATCACCTGGTTCTTCACATTGTTACATCTATTCACATATCATCTATTCCTGACACATGTTTCTGTATATTTCTTCTATACTTCCCTAGTTATAATCTGAGAAAGCAGGTAACAAATTTGTTAAAAATTTATATGCAATAAAAATATCTAATAGTCGAGCAGTGGTCACACACGCCTTTAGTCCCAGCACTGAGGAGGCAGAGGCAGGTGGATCTCTGTGAGTTTGAGGCCAGTCTGGTCTCCAGAGGGAGTTCCAGGACAGGCTCCAAAGCTACAGAAAAACACTGCTTGAAAAAAAAACAAAGGAAGAAGAGGCTTAAAAAAAATTCACACTGCCATTAGTTATCTGAGCATTAAAAGGGATATTCATAGTTTTTGCTTTTAAGAAATCTCTAAAAGGCAAATATTGGGCTAATATTCTCTTTTCCCCAGAGACCTTCCTATCTCCTTTCTGTCTCCATCTGTTTTATTGAATAGAGCCCTTTGAAAATAACTACTAGTGTTTACTTGAAATAGAGGTAGGCAGTAGTCTTGTGAACATCACTTCCCAGAATACAGTTATGTAAAGTCTGCTGACTTCACTTGTGTTTACTCTGATCATTAATTTCTCAAGTGCTCATAGTTTTCCCTATGCTTATTTGGCTAAATTTTGCTAATTTAACGTCCCCTTCCTGCAGTGTGTATTATTTGTTATGATGATGGACCTGTAATATGCAAGAATTTGTATGCTAGTAGGTCTTTGATTAAACACTAACTTCTGATTTTGCTAACAGTATAAGCTGATCTTTAGATCATTAATTCTCTTTACACTCTTACCTGTGTCAAGATTGGTACTGTATTGAGGTTCCATAGACTTCAGGAATTCTGTATGCTGTCTTCTTTCTTTCTACCTATAGGTCCCAGTCATGCAAGGAGCAGGCATTCAAGCAGCAGGCATGCAAGCTGGAAACCAACCTGGTGGCTTTAGTCCTGGACAGAGCCAAGTCACACCCCAGGATCATGAGAAGGTAAGCAACACTGTCTCACTGCCTCCCAGTGCACAAATCTAGTATTTTGATCTTTTCACAGTTACCATGAAGATCCTGGGTCTTCAAAGTCCCTTTGGAAGCGATGTTTACTCTAACTTAGGACTCTAATGATCTTGACTGAGCATTTTGGGGACCTGAACCTTAAGTTTTTTTTTTTTTTTTTTTTTATTTATTATGTATACAATATTCTGTCTGTATGCCTGAAGGCCAGAAGAGGGCGCCAGACCTCTTTACAGATGGTTGTGAGTCACCATGTGGTTGCTGGGAATTGAACTCAGGACCTTTGGAAGAGCAGGCAATGCTCTTAACCACTGAGCCATCTCTCCAGCCCATGAACCTTAAGTTTTTAAGTGAATATAATTGACAACTTATTTTACATTTCAGACTAATTTATAAATGTCAATTGTTTTTATGTGCAAGCCAAACTGACCTAAAAGTCCAAGCTCCTTTCTGCCTCCCCTTTCTACCGATACTTAAACAAAATAGCAGATTCACCACAAGTATATTTTTCTGTTGTTATACTTGGCTATTGTTGGGAGCTTGTGTCTGATAGGAAGGATTAAACTTGTGAAAAGGGAAACTCAAAACAGTGCTCACAGTTACCATCTTAGTATGCAGGAACTTTGAGTTCCTGGAGCATCTCTTCACACCATCTAATCTTAGGTATTTTCATTTAATCTTGTGCTTCACTGTGTCTTTTCTCACCATTTTCTTTATTTTGGCTTGCAGTGTGGGGGCGGGGAGAAATATCCTCCCTTTTCCCATTTTGCTTCATAGTCTATGACAGTTTTTTTAGACAGAAGCTGGTGGTATATTTTGGGTTTTGTTTTTGTTTTTTGTTTCTGTTTTTTTTGGTTTTCTGACACATCATTGAAACTCACAACCTTGCTCTCCTCTGCACAGGCTGCTTTGATTATGCAGGTCCTTCAACTCACTGCAGACCAGATTGCCATGCTGCCTCCTGAGCAGAGGCAGAGTATCCTAATCTTAAAGGAACAGATACAGAAATCCACTGGGGCACCTTAAAAGGTGAGCTGACTGAATGGTACCTGGGCAGAACTAGGTCCTTCTGTATTTGAAGTGCGTAACTTTAACCTTTAACAATGTAATGTTCTCTGAGGCCCTGATCTTCACTAGGCCGTCTTGACCCTTCAGTAGTCAGCACCTTTGGGTATAGGGTAAGGCTGCAGAACATTTGTTTAGTTGTTGAATTATTTTCAGCCTTTGCTGATGATGAAATTAATATAGGGTTTTATTCCAAACCATTCCTTCAAAATGGAGGAAATACAAAATATTTCAATAAAATGTTACTCTAATGTTTGTTTTGGAATGTGTGTCTCTGTGTCCATGTGTGTCCAGGTCTCATATAGCCCAGTCTAGCCTTGAACTCCTTATGTAGCTGAAGATGACTTTGAACTTCGGTCTTCCTGCTACCACTTTCCATTGTGCTAAGATGACAGGCATGCAGTACGGCACTCTGCTTTTGAGATACTGGAGATCAAACTTGGGATTCATGTATTCAAAGCATGCACTATGCCAGCCAAGCTATGTCCCAGCCCTTGTAATGAATATTTTGATGGTTGACTATTACAAACCATCTAAAGTAGTAGATGTCCCTGTCAGCACCAGTTTCTTTACATTTTAAAGAAGAGTGTATAGTACCATTATCTTTCTTGTTCATCCATCATGTAAGAAGAATCTTAAGTGCACTTTCCTCATAAATAACCATATGACCAAACTTGCTATATAAATATTGTTTTGTTTTCAAAACTCCCATCTTTGTATTTCATAAACAATTCCGTTCTCTGAAAGCAGTTTTACTTTCATATTGTCCCAATACCTGTTGGAATGTCTTTGGAATTTTTACATTTTAACCTCACATGTCTTATAATTCTCATGCACAGGCTTACATATAACAGTGAACTCATTTATGATAATTAGCAGTCTTACTATACTGTAGTCTGTATTTGTAGTACTTTCAAAACTTTCAAAATGCGAATATGCATCGTATCTACTGAGACTTTAAATGACTGCACCAAAACTGGGAGTGATTGTAGATGGTTGGAAACTAGATTTTTAATATATTGTACTTCACCTTTGTTTCCATATATCCCAAACATCCTATTTTCTTCATTAAAAATATGGACTATAATCATAGTAATTTACTATTACAAATTATGTCAGAAAAGGCATTCTGTGTGGTTTGAGAAAATTACTGGTTTTAGAGTGTGGGAGATAGCAGTTTTCCTGAAAGTTCTTTCATTGTGTACTCTTAATTGTATCTCATTTGCCTTGAATACTGACCTCAGGGCAAGAATTTACAGGGTTTTTATTTTAACCTTTGAAGCAATCATAGTTTGATAAGAAGTTGGGAAAATAATACAAAGGACCTTGTAGCCTTCACACAGTTTCCCTCGGTGATTGCATCTTATATTTTTACTTTGTAGTACAAAGCCAGGCAGTTGTTCTTAGTATGTTACTGTGAACTAGACTACAAACTGTATTCAGTTTTTACAACTGAGTAATTTATACCAGTGGATGTGAAGCCACAACTGTAATTTTATGTGAGCAAACTCTATTTATGCATGTTGTGGCTGAAACATTGGCTTTTTGTCCTAAACTTAAGAGTTTTGGTTCCTTTCTCCCATCACAATGTTATTTCTCACTAATTAGAGATAAGTATTTCTTGGAGTGGAGAGGTAGCTCAGTTCGTAAAGTGCTTGCTACCCAAACACAAGCATGAGCAGCCAAGTTCAAACCCCAGAATCCACCTGAAAAGTTGGGTGCAGTGGCACACTCTAGTAATCTTATTGGGAGAAGTGGAGACAGGATGATCCTTGGAGCCTGCTGACCAGCCAGCCTAACCTAATCAGTGAGCCCCAGGTCCCAGTGAGACACCCAGTCTCAAGTCCTAGTTAGATGGCTATCCTAAGGATTTACACTTGAGGTTGGTTTGAACTTCTTGCTCATGACTGCACTCATGTGCACACATACGCATATGAGAAAGAGAAAGGAAGGTAGTTGTGAAATAGGGGAGTCTTGCCTGCCTCTACTATATTTGTCAGTTTCTGTAGGCATTTTATGTTGACAAAACATTTGAAAGTAGTATGCCACTGTCATTTAGTGCTTAGAGATCAGAGATGCTCCTGAACATCCCATAATGATGCACAGGGCATCTTTCTCTTTTTGAGAGAGCACTTTGGCTGAAAAATTCCATGTAATGCTAAGGCTGAGAAACCCTGCTACAAAGGACAATGAGGAGACAGGACACAGGCAAACAATGGTGTTTGATCTTCAGCCCCTCCTTCCTTCCCTCAGTCCAATTTTGTTGTTCCTTTTTTTATGAGGGTAGCTGTTTTTTTCTTGGGTTTTAGAAAAAAGAAGTTCACTTACAATGACTTTCTCCAAATTTTTTCTTACAGGTTCTGAAAAATACCTGGCAACAAATCTGGAAATAGTAATTCCTTAACATTGCTGAAATGTTGAAAACATGGTGACTTCTGCATCCTAACCCCTGATGATTCAGTTGGTGCCAGGTGGAGGACTCGCATGACCATTTCTCCAAACGAAAGCAGTTCGTTTTGTTGTCTTAGTTTGTATATTTTCTGTGATGTCAAATAAACTCTGAACACAATCTTAGCATACCGAAAATTGATATATATATATATACACAGAGAGAGAGAGAGAGAGAGAGAGAGAGAGAGAGAGAGAGAGAGAGAGAGAGAGAGAGACCCTTTTGCTTTAAAGAAGCTAAACGCAAAGGTAAAAGCTTAGATATGTTTTCTACTCTTACTGCAGCATTGTCCTTTCATCTTATATTGCCATAGCTCTATTCTCACGTTAGCATAAACATTTATTCTTCTTAGTGATACTTGAGTATTTCTTGGAATCAATGTCTTCAGGAATTTTGTTGTGTTTGCTTTTAGCGAGGTAATAAGACTTTGCCCTTTGCCGGGTGGTGGTGATGCACGCCTTTAATCCCAGCACTCGGGAGGCAGAGGCAGGAGGATCTCTGTGAGTTCGAGACCAGCCTGGTCTACAAGAACTAGTTCCAGAACAGGCTCCAAAGCTACAGAGAAACCCTGTCTCAAAAAACCAAATAAAAAAAAAAAAGACTTTGCCCTTTGAAAACTTTCTAGGGTCTCTGAGTTTTCTGGGAGAAAAAAAGCAAGTGTTTAAAGCTATAAAATAGCCAGAAGGCCATCAAGCAAAGAGCATACCACAGTAATGTGTTTGGTTTAAGAAAATTCAGTTATCCAAATGTGTTGTTTGGTCAGTAGCGAGTCTGAACATACGCCGTTCTGAGTTAAGATAAAGATTGTTTTGGCACTGGTTTGAGTGTGTGTCAACAACCAGAGAGACTGTTGTAGAGCTCTTCTGTCTAGGTAGCCAACTTTACAAGTTTACAAAGCCACTGGTTTTCCACATGTTCAAATTTAATAGGAAAATCAAGTAAGAAAATATATTTTATCCCAGGTTTTAGAAAATTGCAAAGCTTTCAGCCCTATCCGCTAACTAAACTCATTCCAAGAACTTAAAACAGAAAACTCTAAAACTTTTACATTTTCAAGTCTTTTAAGAGGACCAAGTATAGAACACAGGAAGGCCCTGTTATGGTTGCCTGTTTTTTTCCTAAGTACTACCTACTTGGAAGGTTATTAGTGCCATTAGCCTGTGCTAACCAACAGAACACCATGTCTTCTGTTCTCCCATAGTGCCATTAAGGAGGAGCACGGTTTCTTTCCACCAGGTTAACCTCAAGACATTTGAAGAGTTGCCTTAATAATTAGTAAAGTTTACTAGAACTAATTGTGAGCTTATTTATATTCTCAGAACCCTACTCTCTGTGTTAGGATTATGGGCAGGTGAATTAAAATCATTACTAGGCACATAAAGCACATTGCTTACATGCCAAACAAAAGAATGCAAAGATATTAAAATTGAGGGATTTTCTCCATATATTTACAATGAAAATTTGCAGTATATGTCATCAAGAAAAGTGCAAAACAGCAAGCACTCCCTGCCTATTCCACTTATACCACAGGTTCAACTTGGATATTAATTATGCATGTAGCTCCTTGTTTTCACATCACCTTCTGTGCCTCCTACATAAATAATAAGTCAATAATGTGATGATTTTAGCAGCTGTTATGACTTAAAAGCACCAATATATTTAGACACAGAGACCATGAGAAAAGTATTTCTAGTTAGGAACTTGGGTTTTACACAAGCAATTTCCAATCAAGATTACTGAGGCTGAAGTTATTTGGTAAGCAATTGTCTAGTAGAAATCATATCCTGGAAATCCTAGTGTGCATTTTCCCAAGGCCTCATTAAACTTAATGTGGTTAGCAAACATTTAGGTGAATAAATTGACATGAGCAGTGGCATCCCAATTCATCCCTATGGATGTGCTTTTTCTGCTATAATTAGTACACTTAGCTACCCCAAGTTTGTGACCTGTCTCTTATGTTCAGATTAGTGACTGAAAAATGATCCTGCTAATCTTTCAAGCTATAGCTTCCTAAGTAGTAGGAAATGTAAATTTGTTCACTCTTGGTAGAAAATAAGTGGTCTAGATTCAGTGTGCTAAATCTGTGAATTCAACAGTCTGAGTACAATGAAGTGTGGGGTTTTTCGCCTCTGAGGAGGCTGGGGCTTCCTTCTGTTTCTTGTAATTCACCATGACCAACATCCCAGAGCCAGTGTAGTTATTGTCCTGGTTGATAGGAAAAATAGACATTTAGTGAATGATTCCTCAGTAAATAAGACCTGGAAAATAGTCAAAATTATAAAAATCTTTATTTTTCTATACGAGACATTCAAAAACTCCTTTAACAAAAGTAGTAGAAAGCTGCTGTTGAATTAAGTTATTCCATGATGTAGGCCAGGCCTTCCCAGTTAATTCAAACAATACAAAATGGCAGTATAGGTTTCTAATTCTAATTCAAATTTGATTGGTTAATATACTTCAGATGGAAATTCTAGGGAAAGTAAGCAAAATTGTTCAATAAGCAAAGATGAAACTTTCAGTTTTTCTTGACAAAACAAAGTAAACTGTTGGTCACACTGGATAAGATTGTGTTTAACAATGTACCTAGTAAGTATGATATGGGAGTGGGAATCTTGGTAATTTTATGTTGTTTATTTATGATTATTGTTTTGTCTTGGATTCAATAAATATTTTAAAAGTCACCCTACTTAGAAATCTTTTGTGAGGGACTAGTGGGAGGGGAGATTATGAACCAAGTTCAGGAATCAACCAAAACACCAGGGGTTAGATTGTGCAAGTGTCAACCAGCAAAGCTCAGCTGAAGTCAGGGTTTCCCAGGATTTACAACTATCCTACAAAACCCAGTTCATGTGCTTTGAAATTATTGTGGCTTATGCAGCTCTCGGGTTGGCAAAGCTCAGTTATGGTGAAGTTGAATGCAAGCTTTTAAAAGGAGGGAGTGAAGTCCTTGAGAGGCACAGTATTATCTAGTAGCTGACTGCAAGGTGGGAAAGTGGGCTACTGTGCTGCTTTCTGTAATTCAGAAAGTTTCTTTGTTGAAGTAGAATTGAACCTTCCTAGGATCAAGACTTGAGTATCGCTGACAGCATTTGCGCAGGCTCCTTGCCAAAGTCCGAGGGCCGCATAAGAAAACCCCCACTACAGACCTGTAGGAATAGAGCAACAGTAATTACCCAGATGCAATGAAAGCTGTTAGTGGAAATGGAGAACAGCCTCTGCTACTCCCAGCAATGTCGAGCTGTGTGTGACTGGGTCCATCATCATTCTGTCCTTTGCTGGGGTGCACATGGCCACATGGCCCCCACCATTCTCTGAGGAGCTATTAGTAATGGTTGCTGAGGGAAAGAGTCATTTTCACCATTTTCTTCAGTCCTATAGCTACTGGAAACTTGCCAATGCTGGAAGCAGCCCTAATTAAACTTACTAGGTCACCAAAAAGGGAGGAAAAAGAACCCATGAAAGTGGAAGAGGGATGAGTACCAGCAGGAGTGGGAGGGGCACAAGATAGGAAGTAAGTAGGATTGAAATTCAAGTGATCGGCCCTAAAACCACACATAAAGTTAACATTAAACTGAGCAGGTGGTATTTATATAAATTATTTTAGGAAAAAATGTATTCCCATATATGTGTGTATATATGTTTATATACACACATATATGGAAATATATATAGCCATGAATTTGAGGTGGAAGGAATTGGGGGAGGAAATAATGTACTTACTTTAACTCCAAAAAATAAAAATATTTGAAATACATTATATACATGTACGAAAATATAATGAAGCTGGGTGGTGGTGGCACACGTCTTTAATCTCAGCACTTGGGAGGCAGAGACAGGCAGATCTCTGTGAGTTTGAGGCCAGCCTGGTTGACGAGAGCTAGTTCCGGGACAGGATCCAAAACTACAGAGAAACCCTGTCTCGAAAAACCAAAAAAAAAAGAAAAGAAAAGAAAAGAAAATATAATGAAACCCATTGTATATAATTTATATGTTCTGATTAAAAAAACTTAAATTCAGTTGTTGAAATCCTCCTTCCAAGAAAATTTTCTCTTAACATTTTGTTTCCAAGTCCTAAGTATGCTCTCAGCCTTCCCCCATTTTATTGAGACACAAGATACTGAGCAATACTGCTGTTAAATGATAGGCTTTGGGGCAGGGGCAGGAGAAAAAGACAGGAGAAATTAAGAGGACGATCAGGGAGAGATCTAGTTTGTCTTTGATGCTAAGTGAAGAGACCTCAGCCCAGATGATAAAACCAAAATGACCTACCGAGATAATGCAAGGTTTTTTCTAAAGACAAGTCAAACAAGAATGTTAATTAAATCGATGAACTGTGCTTACTCAGGCCTAGAGCATCACCCTGAGTTTTGCCATAGAGGCTTCCCTATCTCATACTTCACAAAAGCACCTGACAACTTCGTTCACAAAAGAATAACACTTAAGTAAAGAAAGTTTTATTCATTTTTAACTCCCCTGAATTTTAAGCTTTGTTTCCATATTAAACCATGTAAAGTATACCCTCTGGGGAATGTTAAACCCAATGACAGGATTATACATTGTCATTGTGAAAGTACATAGATGCAACTCTCTTAAGAAGCCTGTGTCCATGTCTTGGGATTATATACTGCCCTTGTCCTATATGATTCTCTGTTGAAATACTTAAACTCATGAACTTGCTTCGTTTTGATTGGTCTTCAAATTCTTTTCTGCCAAATAATCAAGGCTTTGGCTTTTCCTGAATGGAGGTCCCTAAGGGGGAAGGGTTGAGCTATCTCAGCTAGTGCAGGCAGAGGCCAGCTCTGCCATCCCACCTATGTCACTATGTCATCTCTTTCTCTTTAGAGAATTGGAATTCAAGTAGAACCTACCTTGCAGGGTTCTTCTGAGAATTACAGACATGAAATAGATGGAAAAGTACCTGTCCTGCAGCAAGTGCATATGAGCTAAGTGCTATATAAAGAAGCTTTTGTGAACTTATCCCCACCCCAAACTTTACTGTGCCTTTGAAGGAGGTATTCTGCCAAAGCCAACCTTCCTAATTATGCTGTGGATATCAACTTCTCTTTTTAAGTCTAATTATGGCATAGTACATGTACCATAAAATGCACCCTTTGAACTGTACCATTAATGCTTTTTAGCATAACCACAGCGTAACCACAAAGTTAATACACAACCATCATCACTAATTCCATCCTCCTCATCTACATTTGGTGCAGGAGAATTGTTTGTATTCTGTCAATCATGTTTTAAATAAACACTGATTGGCCAGGCAGGAAGTATAGGCAGGAAAACCAGACAGGGAGTAGAAATGATGCAATGAGAACAGGAGAATTCTGGGAAGGAGGAAGTTGATTCCTCCCAGTCCTGTGCAAATCACCGAGGAAGCAGGATGTGACCTGCCAGCTGAAAAAGGTACCGAGCCATATGGCAAAAATAGATCAGAATAATGGGTTAATATAAGCTACAAGAGCTAATAAGTAGCCTGAGCTAATGGGCCAATCAGCTTTATAACTTATAGAGATCTCTGATTTTTTGGGGGGGCTTGCCGGCTGTGGGGTACTGGGTGGGACAGAAACCCCAACAAGCAAGCTCCTCATGTTACATACATTAGAACGCACTGGTTTCCTCCCAGCTGTACCATCCTGCCCTACAGAATCACTGATCTACTTTCTCTACATACAGAAAGGTCATACCACAAGTGACCTTTTCTTTCTAATAATGTTCATTTTTTAAAAAAAAAAATGTATACATGTGGGGGTAACATGTGCATGTATAATATCAGATTCCCAGGAGCTGGATTTATAGGAAGCTGTGAACCACCTTTTATGGGCAATGGGAACTGAACTCAGGTCCTCTGGAAGAACAGCAAACACTCTTCACCACGGAGGTGAAGAACCCCCACCCCCCGGTTTCTCTTATTCAGCTTAGTATCTTCAAAGTTAATCCACGGTATTGCATGTGTCAGTACTTCTCTCCTCTTTATAGATAAATAAAACTCCATCCTCCACATACAATACATCTGATGATTGGAAGTTGGGATGTTTTCACTTTGGGCTATTATAAATAATGCTGCTATGTACATGCAATATAGTTAGAGTCCTTATTCTCCAGTTCCTGGCTATTGTAGTTTGAATGTAATTGGCCCCCATAATTGCATAGGGAGTGTCACTTTTAGGAGGTGTGGCTTTGTTAGAGTGAGTATGGCCTTGTTGGAGGAATTGTCCACTGTGAGGGCAGGCTTTGAGGTTTTCTATGCTCAGGATACCGCCAAGTGTCTCAGTTGACTTCCTGTTGCCTGCAAGATGTAGGACTCTCAGCTACTCCTCCAGCACCACTTCCGCCCACATGCTACCATGTTCCCCACGATGATGATAATGGACTGAACCTCTGAAAGTGTAAGTCAGACTTGCTGTGGTCATGGTGTCTCTTCACAGCAATAAAACCCTAAGTAAGACAACTATATATCAGGATGTGTGTATACATGTATCTGTATATATACATACATATATGTGTATATATGTACATACATATATATGCATACACACACATCTGTAGAGGCCAGCCTGGGATATATGAAACACTGTCTCAAAACAATGAGCTCTGTTGGTCAGTGAACTAGATAAAGTACCCCAAATTATTGAGCACCCCAACCCCAAAATGTGTGTTAATTTCTCTGGTGCTCTATTTGGTTCAGTACTATCTATAAGGGTAGAGTATCTTCACCTTGTTCATGGCACAGATGCTTGTGGAAACAAGGAACAGGTTTTCCTCAACTGCAAGATCGTGACCCTTATTTTACTAAAATCCCAGATGAAATTTCCTCAGTCCTCAAGTTTTCTGTTAAATTTATTTGTGTGTGTGTGCATGCATATGTGTGCATGTGTGTGTGTGTGTGTGTGTGTGTGCGCGCGCGCGCGCTGTGTAGGTCAGTCAGAGCTCAACACGTGGGTACAGTGCCATGGTTCAAGAGTGGAGGTCAGAGGACAACGTAGGGGAGGGAGTTTGTTCTCACCTTCTACCATGTGAGGTCTCAAGAACTGAAGTTGGATCATCAGTCTTGGTGGCAAACACCTTACCTGATAATCTGTCTCTCTGGCCCTTTCTGGCCCAGCGCTCTTTCCCCAGGTGTGCTCAATAGACTTAAATTCTAACTCTATAGACTCAGTTAAGTGGAGGGCGAGGTACTTACTTGGGGTGAGCAGCCGCTATTCTGGAAAACTCATTGTCCCACATGGGTCTCCCAAAGGAGGTTTTCTGTTTCAGACCTGTCAGGACATCCGTGGCTTTGTCAAAGTTTAATGCTGCATGACCAGCCTGGAAGCAGAAAAATATAAAATTAGAAAATCCAAGTTTGACAGCTGCTTCTGCCTTCAGCCACTTTGAAACCTTTGGTGTGAGAATGAGGCCAGGTAAGAAATGATAAGGAATACTTATTTTAGTATTCATGCATTATATTTTATTTTAACATTTAGAGATTGGAGTCAGTGCTTTAATTGAACTCACAATGTCGCCATCCCAGTCAGTGAGAAAGAGACGGTAGTTTAGGAAATCCATTTTGCCTAATTCCTCCATCTCTTGTTCCAGGGAATTCAGTAAGTTGTTGAACCAGGCAAAAGCACCTGTCTCTCTGCAGATCCAGTAGAAATAGATCTGAAATCAGCAAAAATAGCCCATACCCTTA